GTAGATTACTTGGTAAGGCGTACTGACACTCCATTTGTGACAGATGTTGTCAACTACCCTTTACCCTCAAATTTTAAGATGCCTGCCGTTGAGATCTTTGATGGTACCAAAGATCCCCTCGACCATTTCGACACATACAAATCTTTCATACAATTCCATAACGTGCTTGATGAGATTATGTGTAGAATCTTCCCTACCACTCTCAAGGGATCCGCACGCTAGTGGTTCACCAAGCTCAAGCCTTTTTCCATCCACTCTTTTGTGGAGTTAAACAAGTCTTTCGCCTCCCACTTCATTGGGGGACGCCGACACTAGAAGTCGGTGACCCATATGCTCACCATCAAGCAGGACTGGGATGAAAGCCTTAGGAGCTAACTCTCTCATTTTTACAAGGAGGATCTCTAGATCGAGGAGCTAGACGATAAGGTAACCATGGCTGTCTTTATTGCGGGTTTGCGCTCCTCAAATTTCATGTTCTTTGTCCTAAAGAAATTGCCCCCTAGTATGCCTGAACTGCTATTAAGGGCACAGAAGTACATGAATGCTAAGGACGTCACCAAGGTTCGTCGAGGTGAGTCCTCCCGAGGATGGGAAAAAAGGAAGGACATCATGCAAAGACAAACGGGAGGCAGAGAATAGGAGAAAGAGAACCGAGAGAGTCTTTGTTAAGGATCGTTGGGGTCCTGTACCCCCGAGAGAATGACAATTTTTCACGCCACTCAATGCCACAGTGGAGCATATCCTATTCCAAATACAAGATGACCCTACGCTCCGCTGGCCCAGAAAAATGAAGTCCGACCGAAACCGTAGAAATTTCAATAAGTACTGTTGCTTCTACCGCGACAACGATCACGACATTGACGACTGCTTCCAGTTAAAGAGGCAGATCGAGGAACTTATACGATGTGGCCAACTGAGGTAGTACGTTGCTGGCAGAGAACAAGACCAGCCACCTGGCCGGGACTAGGATGATAGAGAACACTAACAATCCCTCAGAGAAATTTTGACAATCTCTAGAGGGTTAGGAAGATGAGGTGACTCCAACTCTATTAGGAAAGCTAGACAAGCAGAGGCATATGACTCTCGCCTAAGAAAGACACCCCGACATGGGGAAGAAGAGATCATCACCTTTTTGAATCGAGATCTCAAGGGAATTTAGCTCCCTCACGATGAGCCCTTTGTCTTAACCATGATGGTAGCCACTGCCAGGTTAAGAGGATTCTAGCCGAAAGTGACAGTTCAACTGATATTCTGTTCACACCAGCCTATGATAGCCTCCACCTTGGCAGAGACAAATTGTAACACATTAGGACACCCCTTGTTGGATTCTCGGAGGAGAGGGTTTATCTCTTGGGTTACATCACCTTGCCAGTCACTGCAGGGACATTGCCAAGAAGCTCCATCATTATGGTGAAGTTCATTGTACTGGACTGTCCATCTATCTACAACATCATACTTGGACGCCCCACACTCAACACTCTAAGGACAGTGTCGTCCACTTATCATCTCGTTCTTCGTTTCCCAACCCTTTGTGGGATTGGAGAAGTTAAAGGAAACCAAGTCACTACTAGAGAATACTACGTGGCCTCCATGAGGACCAAGAAACCCCAAGAGGCCCTCTGAGTGGAAGTGCTCAACCTTAAGGATGACAGTACATTGAAAGCAGGGAAGCCTTGGCCCATTTATGGTGAGCCAAACTCCTGAAAAGGCATTATCAATGGCGGGCACAAGCTGGCGGATCTCATTTTATTCGTCATTTATTGTTTTAGTTGATTTACTTTGTTATCTATTATTTTACAAAATAAAACTCTGCGAAGATTATTGTGTCCAGAGTTATCTTGCTTTCATTTCATAAAGATTGTAAACAACTTACAATAGTCACAACATGATCTAACATCAAGGTAGACAGAAAGATAAATGTCGTCATACTCCCGATGATCACCCACTACACCTGAGCCATTATCGTTAAGGCTCTCCCCGTCACCCTCTACCCCTAGTGCCTCATATGGGACAAAGCCACAGAAATCAATAGCAAGGAAAGCTTTCAAGCCCTTCATAACCATCAATAAAGGCATCTGCAATGGCTCTCTCAGTAGCCTCCCTCCTTATCTCCATCTCAATGGAATAAGCTTCTGCCACGGCAACCTTTTCTCAAGATATACGTAGCTCGGCCTTAGCTTTGGTGGCCCTTGTGTAGATAGTCACCTTATCAGTCTCCAGCTTCGCGTTCACTTGCGAGTCACCAAAAAGCTCGACCTAATTCTGCCTCTGCTCTCAAGCAGGCTACCTATATCTCCAGCTTAGCGTTTCTCTCATGAGTTTTCACAAGCTTGGCCTAACTCTACCTCTACTCTCACGTAGACAACTTATGTCTCCAGCTTAGTGGCTCTCATGAGAGTCACCAAAAGGTTGGCCTAATTCTGTCTCTGCTCTTAAAAAGACAACTTATATCTCTAGCTTAGCATTTCTTTCAGGAGTCGCCACAAGCTCAGCCTAACTTTGCCTCTATTCTCACACAAACAGCCTATGTTTCCAACTTAGCGGCTCTCATAAGTGTCGCCAAAGCTTGACCTTATTCTACCTTTGCTCTCAAGCAGGTAGCCTATATCTCCAGCTTAGCGTCTCTCTCACAAGTCACCACAACCTCGACCTAACTCTATCTCTGCTCTTATGCAGACAACCTATGTCTCCAGTTTAGCGGTTCTCACGAGAGTTGCCAAAATCTTAGTCTTATTCTGCCTTTATTCTCAAGTAGATAGCTTATGTCTCCAGTATTTCTCTCACTAGTTGCCACAAGCTCGGCCTAACTTTGTCTCTGTTCTCATGCAGACAACTTATGTCTTCAGCTTAGCTGCTCTCACAAGAGCCGCCAAAAGCTTGGCCTTATTCTGCCTCTGCTCTTAAATAGACAACCTATATCTCAAACTTAGCGTATCTCTTACAAGTCCCATAAGCTCGGCCTAACTCTGTTTCTGCTCTCAAGCAGACAACCTATGTCTCCAGCTTAGTGACTCTCATGAGAATCGTCAAAAGTTTGGCATTATTCTACCTTTGCTCTCAAGCAGGCAGCCTATATCTCCAGCTAAGGGTCTCTCTCACGACTCGTTACAAGCTCAACCTAACTTTGCCTCTGCTCTCACATAGACAACCTATGTATCCAACTTCGTGCTTTCTCATGAGTCGCCAAAAAGCTTGGCCTAATTCTGACCTCAAGCAAGCAGCATATATCTCCTGTTTAGCGTCTCTATCGTGAGTCACCAAAAATCTCAGCCTAATTCTACTTCTGCTCTCAAGTAGGTAGCCTATATCTCCAACTTAATGTCTCTCTCATGAGTCACCAAAATTTTGGCCTTATTCTACCTCTGCTCTCACTTAAGTAACCTCAATCTCCAGCTTAGTGTCTCCCTCGCGAGTTGTCACAAGCCTGGACTAATCCTATCTCTGCCCTAAAGTAGCCTTTGTTTACCAAAACTCGGCCTAACTCAGCCTGTGTTTACACGCAAGCAACCTCATTCTCCAAAAGCTCAGCCTCGAGAGTTATTGCTCTCTCATGAGCCAACCTCAATTGTAGCCTGGTGCCCAGGTTTTTCTTCTGCCAAAGTTCTCGACACCTTGTCGAGTTTGAGCATCGTCAAAAGCACGAAAAAGCCACAACCACCTACAGGTATCCAAAATCCAGAACATGAAAGAAGGAAGTTAGATACAAGATTAAAGATGAGTAAAGGGCATACCAAAGCAAAGCCCTTCATTATTGTGTCGATGATGCCCTCTGGACCTCTAGAACCAACCTCTTAGATATCCCAGGGACTCATAGACCTCCAAAGCTGCTCCTTAGCCAAAGTCACATCGAAGCATGAACATCGAGCCACTACTAGAATCAGAGCAACTATGTGGAACTATAGTCCCTGTAGAAGACCGCACTAAACTCTTAACTCCTACAGTAGTACAAGGGCTAGCTCTAATGCACATAGGAGTCACAACCTAGGAAGGAATGAGGGCACCATCGGATCCTGCTCTTGGGAAGTAACATAGCCATCGGACGTCGGTGAAAAAGCACTGGGGGCATCAAACCTTGCCCTCTTTGGAAAGAGGGGAAGACGTTGTCCTAAAGTATAGAGAACTTCCACCTCCACCATCACTATATCAACATGAACGCCTGTAATAAGAGACAAGGTTAATCTAAAGAACTAGTAAATCTTCACATTGAGGATATCTTCAAAGCAAGATGAGCTGAATCCTCACACAATCGGGAATACAAAAAGTAGACACATGCTAAATCTATTTTTTTCACTAATTTGGGGTTAAAAACTCAAATATAGAGAGAAAAAAGCATTCTTTCGAGAAATTTGGTGCCCAAACTACCTTTGGCAGTTTATGTCATAGATCTTGAAAAAATACCTAGATTCACAAAAAAAATTTCCCTCAAACAGATAATCGAGGACAAAGTTATGGAAATTCAAAGTTTTGCCCTTTTTTATGATTTTCCAATAGTTCGGTTGGCGTCTAGCGCACGCTCCCCTCTCCTGACGATGCCTAGGCCTCCCTAGCTTCACTCAGCTTGCCACTTGGGCCCTCTGCAACAGTGCAAGAGGCGTCGCCTATGTCCACAACAACATTTTTGTCACCCAAATAGAAATCGAGGTCGCCCGAGGTCACGATAGCCAAGGCGTCGCCCATTTCCACACAGCCAGCAGCGCCTATGCCAGTGGTGCCTAGTCCACTTCCATGGGCACCACCTGAAGCCCTCTACGCCTTGGGTGTCATCACCTCTCTGCTCCTTGGGCGTCGCTAGCAAGCCCCTCTCTGCACCTTGGGCGTCTCTAGCGAGCCTCTCTGCACCTTGGGCGTTGCCTACCCAAGCCTCTCCGGCGCCTGTGCCATCATTGTCCTAGCATCCTCCGCCTTCCTTGACGCCTGCTTGACCCACCTTGCTTCTAGCATTGCCTAACATGCCCAGGGAGCTGCCCATCCTGCCGTTGCCACTTAGTTTCCTGCCTAGGCTATTGGCCCCTCCACTTTTGGTGTTGTCTGAGTCTTACCCCATAGCCTGGCTCACTCCTGTTCCAGCCCACATTAGTAGTAGCTTCAGTGCCATAGGCGTTGCCCATACACCCAGAGGCGTTGTCAATAGCCCTGTGGGCACTACCCTCTTGGCCTCCCTTGGTCTCACCGATTGCACTATGGACCTTGCTCTTTTCGAAGTTGCTTTTCCCTGGGCTAGCTCTCTGGGCACCATCTCTTTGTCTTTTGGTTCTCTTAGACTTTGAGGATTTTATAAAGCACAACCATGGAGCTATCAGAAGAAGAGAAAAACTTCCCAGAGTACAGAAGCAAGAAGCTTAGGAAGCTAACATGGTGGAGAACATGAAACTTTTTGCCCACTCAAAATGAACAAGTCACTCATGCCCTCAATCTCCTTGGCACCACTAGGACTTGAGGCATGGGGGGAAAATGATGAGCCCAAATCTAACCGGATCAGGCCCAATAAATCAAGTAAGCCCAAATCAGTTAACACGATCAGTCAGGCCCAGCTCATGAAGTCAACCCAGTCTAAGGCCTAAGGAGTCTAAAAAGATTAGAGCATGTGGGGAGCAATCATCGGGATGCTCACTCTCGAAGATCAAGGCATTTTTTAATTGTACTTACATTTTGTAGTTATCCTCCCTGAAGAACTAGTACATTTACCCTCGCGTCACCTCTTTACCTAAGGGCTTCATGCCTATATGTAAGCTCTTTCTACATGAGAGACACATCTCTACACATCCCTCACATAGCTTTTCTCTCTCCTAGCTATTGTACCTCTCCCGGAGCTAACCATTGCTCTCTCTCTCTCTCTCTCTCTCTCTCCTGTTCACCTTATCTCATTAATAAAAGGTTCTCTGGCCATTGTTACCATTTCTCGGAGTGGAGTAGATCATCCGGACTGAACCACTATATATCTGTGTATTGACTTGATATTTACTTTTTTTCCTTTGATTGTTTTATTAATTGTCTCATTAATTCCCTACATCAATTAGTCAACTATTGATCTTGCATAAGATTATTTTGTGCATCATCAAACCATAATCATCAAAAACAATTTTCCTTCTCCTCCTTATCATAGGCAAACAACAAAAGTCTTTTGCTACAGCCATCTTCACCTCAATAGGTAAATTCAAACCAAAAGAAAAATCAATAGATCTCGTAGATAGTACAACATAGTTAACCAATCTATCAACAACACAATTGGCTTATCTGAAAATATGAAAAATTTGGAAATGCCCATAGCTCAATACCTCCTTAATCTGAACCAAGAAACCCAAAAGAGGCCAAACACACTCACATATTCCCAAAATAGAAATAAACGAACCCAAAAAATTAATCTCATACACCATAACTCCATTTCCAAAACAAATAAAAATCTATTTTCTTTGTCTTCCATTTGACTTTGAAGTTGCACAAAGAATTGTTGTATTTTCCTCCGCATTGACTTTTGCCTATACAAACAAAACTAATAGATCTTAAAACTGTATATAAATGGATCCAAAAGCTGTTGAAAAATCAAGAAAACTAATAAAACTTAAAATGGTATATAAGGAAACTCACTTATTGGCTTGGACACTCTGAACCACCCTTGCTAGCATCCCCATCCTTTCCTGAATTTAGGCTTCCCTATATATAACAAAAAATTGAAAGAAAGTTAAAGTGCATGGAGATATGAATTAGATGGAAATTAAAAAATGAATCTTGTACTAGATGTTGTATGATATTAGACAACCGTGTAGTATCATTGATTCCAAATATTGTTGTAGAGTAGGGAACATGATCCATACCATATATACCTCTCCAATATGAAAAGTGTTGAGCATCATTTTAAAGAACACATGGTAAATGCAACGCACATTTTCTATTAAATAAAACAAATATGACATACTTGTAACATATTTTGGTGTGAAACCTAGAGTGTGTCATGTTGTCCATTGTATATCCACCTCTATATTCATGTGCTGAAGGAGTAAAGTTGCCCCCACACAAGGAGGGTGGGTTGGCCTTCATAACACATAATACACTACAACTAAATAAATAGCTCAAAATAAAATGTTCAATATAATTGCTCAAATTAGCAAATACAATCTTGTACCTTTAATGCAATACTTTGTTGATTCTCAACTATGTCAACAACTTTCGTACTTAATGCATCATCATCGTTACCAATTTTGTTGCCTTGGACCATGTTAGAATCCTACAAAAAAATTATAAAATTAGCAATGTGAACAAAATAAAAAGAATTAATTTCAAAATCACATAATTCAAATATTTCACACCTTCATATAATTCCCTGCATTTTTGGTATTTGTCTTTGCTTCTGTCTTTGTTTTTTCTTTTCCTCCTTTTTCCTAATTACTTGCTCGACCTTAAATTGCTTCCTTTTATATGGTGGTCGCCCTTTACAACAAACTACCACTGGAGCAAGTATATTTGCATTCTCTTTTGATGTTGGATTAACATCACTACAAGCATTTGTTGCCCCAACATTCATATTGGTAGTAGGTTGACTACTCTTACCAACACAATCATATTTTTTTTGGGTCCATTTCCAATTCTTTTAGCCTTTGCATCACTAAATTGGCATTTTCTTTAAAATCAGTTGCCAAGTCTACAACCTAATAAAATGTATTAAACATCTTGTCAAAACGGCATGCTTCAGGTTTGACACTCCAATCATCGTAAGTAATCTTCATCTTTGTGTGACACCTCTTCAAATTTTTCCTCCATCGCCGAATGATGTATTTTTCTAGAATCACTAAAATCTTCTTATGAATTAACACTATGATTACATGTCTACATAGAATGCCCCTAAATTCAAACAAATGACAATTGCACTTAATGTCATAGTCATCATGAATTAAAGAAACTTTAAAAGATGCACGCTGAGATGACTCCCTAACCTTTATATCTTCAGATATTTCATACTCTGAAAAGGAATCATTATTTTAACCGAAGACAATTCACAATATATTTTCCCTGCTAATTCATGTTGAAACTCTTTAAATTTTGTTTTAGTATAAGCATCTTGAAATTGCTTCTCCATCGCATAATGAGTTAAACACGAAATCCATGAATTATAGGAGTTGAAATCTTCTTGGTTCTCTTTTTCTACCTTGCTTCGTAATGCATTTTCATATTGTTCAACAAATTGTTTTAATGTAGTTTTGTAATTGACATATCCATCAAAAAATTCATGCATTCTCTCATTGCGTTGTGTGATAGACATTCCTGTTCAAAAAGTATCTTTCACAAATGTTGGCACCCATTGATGCCTCTCATCATATAATCCAAGCAACCACTCATTGCTTTCAAGATTATATTTCTCAATCATTTTATTCTACAATTCTTCAAATTCTTCATTGGTCAAACATTCATATACAGAAATTTGCAATGCAAACTTGATTGACTCATACTGTAAAACCCGGGTAAATTTAAACTTGTATGAAAAAGGGCAAAATGATAATTTGTCACCACAGTACGGGTTGTAAACCTAAAATTTTCTAAAACTTAAATGACGAAACGGACCTCATCGTTGGGTTCGTCTCACGAAATCTAGTTACTACGTCAAATTTCATCGAATTCTAAGATAGTCAAAATTTTCATGTTTTACGAGGCGATCGAATCTTGGGTGACCCAAAAAACAGGATTTTGATAAACATTTTAAAGGTTAGAAAATAATTTGAGGCAAGTTAAAGTAAAAATATTTTAAAATTAAATTAGGACAAAATTTAATCATTTCGTGGCTAAAACAGACCCGAAAATAGGGGGCTGTGTGGCGCATTGTGGACCAAAGAAATAAGGAATATAAATAGGTGGGAAAAATCTGATTCTCCACCCACTATGTAGTACTCCATTATGTCGTCAACTGTATTAAACACCATTCCCAATTTTGGCTCTTCTAATTTTTCTTCTACATTGATTGTATTATCAACTTCTTTCTCACAAGTATTACCATCCATCTCCATACTTGTATAGCTAGTTGGAATTTCTTCTTCCATTCCTATCTAATAAAGAACAAAACATAGACAATCAAAGAACATAGAAATAATAGATTGTCACTAGAATAAATATAATTGGTCACTCTTAAAGTTATTGTCAGCGCATCAAATGTCAGTGAGTATGAGACCATTGCCAAGCAAAAGTTGCCAAAGATGATATTTGACTACTATACATCAGGTACAAGGGACCAGTGGAGTCTGGCAGAGAACATAAATGCATTCTTAAGAATTCTGTAAGCTTCCTATCAGGCTCGCAAAGCTTCAACTCGAAACTTGTACCATTGCGCTAGCAATGGCTTGAAGCATCTTATTTAATTAGCTCAAAAGAAACTGAATTACAAGTAGTACATACAGTAAATCAAAGCGTGCGAAATTCACTTTCTAGAGAAAATTTTAGGCATCATCACTAGAAGACATAAAATCTGTTTAATCATATAGACTTTTATTTGGTGGATGTAACAATCAATTCAAACCATAAGGAATAACCTTTAAGACATGGTCTACCAATCAAGGAGGGTTACATATGAAATAGGGGAGGCAAAATGATATATTTGGATGCTATGAAAAGTGATTAAACTTCAACGACCTCACAAAAATATGAATTAGTCGAGGTTCGTATGTACTTTCTTGCAATCCCATCCAAAGTGATATATATATATATATATATATATATATATATATATATATATATATATATATATATATATATATATATATATATATATATATATAATAAATTTTCTTTTCATGTCATTAATTTTTCCCAGACATTCCAACAAGTAAAAAGTATAGAAAGAAAATGCCAAGATTAACCTGGGTGGACTTGATAATTTCACTACAGGGAAAATCACTGAGCTTTAGCCTTGCAGCGTTTTTGCATCTGTACAAGGCTCTGGTGATGGAGCCGGTGAGGATTCGAAGGATACTAAAGAAGCAGGGAATAAGCGAACCACCACCTCTATCTAATAGTGGAAGCAGGGAAGACGAAATTTTTTTTTCCCCAAATATTAATCAAATATTAATCTTTCTTAATCAACCTTCCAAGTCAGGTGTCATGCCATTTGAGCTTTTTATTTGGTCCATAATTTTGGTCAGTATAGCATTATCGAAAATAAATAGGGGGGGGGGGGAGGGAATTCTCAATGAAGGATTTATTGTTATTGCATTTGTTGCCTTGATAAGGGTGCCACTTGATCTTGTTTCATCAATGCACAACAGATTTGTCTTGTGGGAACCAATGTGAGCACTGGGGGACAAGAACCTTGAACCGAGCACGAACACGTCTTATAAATTCAAGATCCTTAATGACATCAAGTCTAGGTTGTTGGGTTCAGTTGGGCGGAAAGTCTTTATGTGCATAAGACACTTGATGGGCTCCGAGCCCTAGAAACGGGTAATCCTTTGCTTGGCCAAAGCACTAAAAGTCCTAATGGAGGCCTAACATCTCTCGGGGACGGGTTCAAGAACTTGGACTCGGGAGTACTCCTTATTTAGGGAGGTGAAATAAGAGTTTGGGTTAGGCCTTGAATACAGGAAAGTCTTTGCATGGCCAAAACACCAAAAGCCTTATATGTTTAGGCACTTGATGGGCTTTGGACCCTAGAAACGGGTAAGCCTTTGCTCGGACAAAGCACCAAAAGTCTTAATGTAGGCATAAAATCTCTTGGGGATGGGTTCAAGAACCTAGACTCGGGAGTACTCCTTGTTTAGGGACGTGACACGAGACTATAGGTGAGACCCTAGACATAATGCAATGCAGTTACAAGAGAAAGCTTGACCCCGCATTAACTTTTCATGTTTGGAGGTTAGGCATGAAGACTGTCTCAAGAAGAATCTCACTGAGGGAACCTTGAATTACCTAACTACGGGTTTGATATATTCAAGACTCAGTTCGACAAGGTATGTTTTTATTTGTTTTAGTTATATGTTATTTGAACATGATAAGAAAGGGCAAGACTCAAAGCCCAATCCATCATCAAAGTCGGGGTTGTCGAGGCCAAGGGACAGATATGTCAGGGCTTTTTTTTAATGGACATTCTCGAGGAGCCAAGATTATTCTGTCCCTCTTTAGAGGGCCCGGTGTATTCAGCCCTTATTTATAAGGACAAACTTATTTTGATCTTTCTCAAGGGCCAGGGTTATTCCGTCCCTCTTCAGAGGACCGTCAATTATTGTCCTCTTTAGGCTTGCTCATGCTTGACTTTTGTAGCATTTGATTATAGTAACCTTTCTTAGGGTTCGGATATTTTTATCTTCGTTAGAGTTGGATGTGGAGCATCTAGGGTTACCCATTCAGGATTTAGATCTTTCCAGCATACATCTAATAGTTATCTTCGGTATTCCTTGAGCCACTCAATAAAGCATTTCATTATTGTTCAGCCTCAAGGAACAGATGTATTCAGGGTCTCTTTATTAATTCCCACTTCAACAAGCCCATGTACTGAGACCTTCTCCAAGAGATCAAGATTGTCCAATCATGTTGTGGGGACACAATGTATTCGGTCAATCAAGGACTAGATTTATTCGATCTTTCTTTGGTCTTATTTGGTTGCCCTTCGGAGGGCAAGCTTATGTGGTCTCTAATCAAAGGATCAAAAATATCTATTATTGATTTCCCTCGAACATATTTTCCTTGGAAGGCGCCTAATGATTGTCTCGTTTATGACCCGATGATTGATTCTCCTACTCGGGATTCAATTACAATCTTTCTTTTCAGAATTCAATTATACCCATCCCTCAGATTTGATTGTGATCATCTTCTTTGAGACTTGGATATTATTGTTTCTTCAGATGAGTCTGAATCAATTGTGGTTGTCTTGTATAAGATTTGGCTTTCTCCAGCGACATCTTATAATTATGTTTGGGATTCTATTATTTGGCCCTTCAACAAGGCATCTCATTATTGCTTGGCATAAATAGTTTCTTGTATGATATTAGCTGGGCCTAGCACCGTTATGTTCATATTCTTTTGTCCAACCATGAGAATATCAATTATGACACCTGGCAGACGCGTTGCTCTGACTGTTGAAATATCACTCATTGCTCGTCGAGTATTTGAGTTTCACGGTTATTGATCTTGGTATTCTATTATAAATGACAAGTATATTCGGCCTATGCATGTATTATCTATTTATTGGATTCATGCTCCGTGCTCGCTTGATAGCATATAGTGGGTCTCGACATATCTCTCCCAAGTCGTACAGTGCCAAAGAGGATGTGGATATTATCTACAAAGACATGAATATTCTACATAGCTTCCATCTTCTTCTAAGCACGACAAAAGAAAATGAAAGCTAGGGGGAAATTGGAAGGACATTTTTGTCAAGTGGGTCCACCACCCCCACTCCCAATGAAGGAATTGACATATATCACATGTAGGATCCACTACAATAAATATCTGACAGGTAATGAGTATTTTAGTAGGTTAGCCCATGCCTATCTCTCTACATTGACAACTGTATAGTACAATATGGTAAGTAGCTCTCTAATCCTTTCTATATATATGGGTGAAGACCCAAAGAATATGGGGCCTCAAGTATGAGTACCTTGGCTCTATACTTCACACACACACACACACACACACACACCTATATTACTTTTCTAGTTTATACACTCGCTTGTTCAAGTATTGGTCGTAGTACTTACTTAGGCATCGGAGGGGCCTCCTCTGGCTCAATGCTGGGGGTCCCTCTATCCCTTTTTTGTCTTGTAGCTCATGGATTGGATGATACTCGAAAACTAGGAGTGCACATCGACATATTTCAACTATTGGCGGATTTTTACCCATGTAGGAGTAGTAACTAATTTAAAGTGTTATTTAACTTCATCTTGTTTTCTTATTTTCATATGAGATGCATAGCTCGCCTTATAAATATAATAGTACAAGGGTGCTTAATGATATTAGAAATAATTGATAAAATTAAATGCATAATCTATCATATAATAGATTTTGAAAATAGAAATTACAAATTTTCAAAGTATGTGTATGAAAAATAGTTTAAAATAACAAAAAAAAAAACCTTTCTGATGATGTACAACATAAGTGGAGTTCCACCTATTAAATGCAAGAGCCAACAACTAAAGAAAAAGCTTCCATAAAATGAAAGAAATTTGTAGTAGTTTTTAATGACACAATTATATATTTCTTTTTATCGTATCTTTTTATATATTTGTGCAAGAGAAATTTAATAAAAATTTCTCTCTACTTCCTATGAGTCTTAATTCTGCCCTGGCTAAAATTTTATGATTTTTACAAGGTTTTCTAGCTAAGTTTGATTTTAGGATATGAAATGTAGAGTGTTCAGATGTGAGTGTTATTCCCTTGTGTATGTGGAGTTTACAATTTATAGACATTTCCTAATAGATTGAGGCTATATTCTTGTAATAGGTGAGTTAGTTTGGTGAAGGTGACACAATTCTCATAACAGACGATGCAGTTTCGTGGAGGTGGCGACGTACACCCGATGACTGTGTCCCACAGAAATCTCCTCGTGAGTCAGTTGTGGACTGAGTCTCTCAAGATGATGAGACTACCCCAACTGAACTTCCTTGATCCTGTAATAGGCTTGACCTGTATATTTAGTTTGGGCCTAATTTGGACCGATCATTTATGATCTGGGTTGGACCTATTATGTTATATCATCAATACTTGATTTTTAGTATTATTGAGTGTCTACTGACACAAAATTATTGGTAGTATTACAATATGACATATACTTACCGGGCAGTAGGTTTTTTTTCACAAATAAAATTAAGTTTCTCTTTGTGCCATTTTATTTTGAAAAATTTCAATTTTAACAATGTAAATCAATAAGCAGGTGGGCACAGCTTGCGCTGCAAGCCTGCAACACATCTAACAACACCAGCCAAGGACCACTAGTTGGGCTAGGGCACAATATCCATTACTTCTAGTTCTAGCTTGATTCGGGCTGGCCAACCAACTTCACAGGATGAGGTTGCCCCAACTGAAAATTCTTGTCAAAATTAGAAGTCAGTTCATT